GTAGATCTAGATATCTAGAGACCTAGAAATTGATGAAACCAGGTATTTGGAAGTCTGAGTGCTTGAGGAGCTATGTATCTGAATGTCTAGGAATGTGAAGATCTAAATAATTGAATATCTGAGCATCTGGGTACCTGATACCTGATACCTGAAACATGAAAAAACCTGAAACTTGATACCTGAAATCTGACACCTGACACCTGGTACCTGAAACCCGAAACCTGAAACCTGACAGCTACCACCTGACACCTGATACCTGACACCTGACACCTGACACCTGACACCTGACACGTGACACCTGACACCTAATACCTAATACCTGATACTTGATACCTAGGAGGATACCTAAGTATCTGACAATCTGAAGATCTGAAAACTTGAAAATTTAATTATCTCAAGATCTAACAATCTAGGATCCACCTCTGAATCCTCATAAAAATTGTTATAATTCAACTATCAGTTAATAACAAATATTTCAAAAGACCCTCTACCTCTTGCCAATTAAAATATCTTTCCAATTAGACCCAATCTGCTAATGGAGCAATTTCTTGAGAAAAATCTTGAAACAAAACAACTGATAATTTCAAGCAGCAAGTAATATCAAGCAGCGCGTACTCCGTTTCCTATCGTTCCACAAAATTCTAGAGTGGACACGAGAAGTTAGCCCAACTGTCGTAGGATGTGAACACCGGGCACGGGCAACGTTATTAAAACAGAAAGTATTACTTTCCCCTACGGTAGGAGGAATTATCCTTACCTCCGGTGTCCTTTTAAGCTACCTCCTACCGAAATGGCCAGCGGCTTCGAGGAACAGTAATTAATTAGTAATTATATCAGCAGGGGTGAAAAAGCCGAGCCAGCAAGCTACGACGTCGAAACTCACCCCGATAACTTTTGCTTTCTGACCTAACTCCAATTTCTGCTAATTATATCGCGACTGGCTACTTTCCGACCCACCCCCTTTTTTCCCACTTTTCTTGCCGCCAGCTTTGAGCCTGCGAAATATCATACACGGGAATGTGGGGGTGGTTAGCTGCGGTGTAAGATGATAGCTTTCTTCCCTTTGCTGATGGGGATATTTGGAGTCATTAAGGGATGGACTCGTTTTATTGAGAAAGTAAATGAGATTTGATATTTGTGACAGTTCTATCTGAAACAAGTTGGACTAAATATATTTCTGACGATTGTTTAAACGGGTTAATAATTCATGTATACATTTTGAAACACCCTGTATGAATCTCTGATGTGTATGAAAGGACCTGACATTGTTGGAATCCCCAGAAAAAAATAGTTCAAGAATTTATTTTGAATCGCCCTGTAGGGCAAGGAATTGATACATGACCGACAACAATTTGCTTAGCTATAAAAAAAGCTGTGAAACCAACTTTGTATAAAAGCTTCTTATAACCACAACCATCCCTAAAAGAAACCGCCTCGAAAAGAACCCCAAGTGAAGGCACTTATTTTGAAGCGACCTGTATATTTGAGTCCCCCGTAATTCCCCAAAAAACATCACGTTGAAACAATCACCTTAATCACAAGAAAAAGCCATCATTGAACCCCATCGCAAAAATCATCCCCCTTACACACCCTCGGAGGCCGGGAACATTAAGTCAATGTATTCCCTCGCAAAACGAGTTGGAAAAAGGACAAACAGGTACATCGTCCGACGATTAAGAGAGAAGAAAAACCTGACGAAAGCCCATAAACGTCCTCATCCGGGGAACGAGAAAATCGAGTCACGAGCTCTCAAGAAAATACACGTCGTAAGACCGCGACATTATAAAACGATGACGATAATGGCCGACGAAAGCATGGCACGGTTCGCTGAACCCGGAACAGCCGTTTCCTCTCGTCCTTTTAAACAATTGGAGCGAGTTTGCAGGCTTTGCTTCAGTTCGAGCAACGACGAAAGCTACAGAAATCCCGGGATTCCAGGAATATTAACTGGAAAGGGTGTAGCTGAACATTCCTGAGCTGGCGGTTGCTTCTAAAAACGAACCTTCTCTATAACTATGTACGTTCGGGTCTAACGTGGATGTATATCAATTAGAACGTAGCTGTTTAACTTTTTCTTGATATATCCGTAAAATGTCCCTAGGGTTTTTCTATGACTTAAGGTTTAGGTTAGGTTTCTCTAAATTTCTATATAGGTTTCTGGTCTTCCTAGATTTCTCCCTAGATTTATTCCCTTAGATTATTCTAGTCTTTCGAGATTTTCCCCTAGATTTATTCTTAGGTTGCTTCTGGTCTTCCTAGATTTGCCCCTAGATTTATTCTTAGGTTACTTCTGGTCTTCCTAGATTTTTTCCCTAAATTTATTCCCTTAGGCTCCATTAGCCTTTTTAGATTTTCCTCGACATTTATTACCCTAGGTTCTTCTAGTATTTCAAGATTTTGCCCTAGATTTATTCTTAGGTTGCTTCTGGTCGTCCCAGATTTTTTGCCTAGATTTGTTCTCTTATATTTCTTTAGTATTTCCAGATTTTTTTCGATATTTATTCCCCTAGGTTCCTTTAATCCTTCAAGATTTTCCCCTAGATTTATTTTTAGATTGCTTCTGGTCGTCCCAGATTTTTCTCTAAATTTATTCCCTCAAGCTCCATTAGTCTTTTTAAATTTTTCTCGACATTTATTCCCCTAGGTTCTTCTAGTATTTCAAGATTTTCCCCTAGATTTATTTTTAGATTGTTTCTGGTCGTCCCAGATTTTTCCCTAGATTTATTCCCTTAGGCTCAATTAGTCTTTTTAGATTTTTCTCGACATTTATTTCCCTAGGTTCCCTTAGTCTTTCAATATTTTCCCCTAAATTTATTTTTAGATTGTTTCTAATGTTTCCAAATTTTTCCCTAGATTTATTCTGAGGTTTCTCCTAGACTTCACAGATTTTTCTCTAAATTAATATCCTTAAAATTCCCTAGCCTTCCCAGATTTTTTCCCTAAATTAATATTCCCAGCTTTCTCTAGTCTTCCCAGATTTTTCCCTACATTTATACCCTGTAGTTTCTTTTGGTTCTTTCAGATTTTTCCCTAGATTTTGTTCTCAGGTTGCTTCTGGTCTAATCAGATAATTCCCTAGATCCATATTTCCAATTTTTTTCTAGTTTCCTCACATTAATATCTTTAGATTTCTTAATGTTCCCAAATTTTTCTCTAGATCTACTCCTAAGGCTCCCTTAATTTTATCAGATTTTTCCCTAGATTTATTTTTATATTCCCTTCTTCCCATACGTACCTCTGTATTTCTGCGTAGAATCTCTATAGAGTGTCCTTATATTCCATTCTAGTTCCCCTAGGATTTCCCTAGATATTTCCTAAAATTCCCTTCTTCTTTCCAATCTTAAGAAACGACAGCCGTAATTCAATATCTAATAAATAATATACAGTATTCCAACCGTCCAAAGTGGTCTTAATCCAACAAAATAAACGAAATTTCCGATTTCGCTACAAGCTTGTAAAAACGAAGAATCTTCTTAAGAAGATCGGATTATCAGTTGAACAGGGTCCAAACCCATCCCCCGTCCCGTAGAAAACCGGGATTACAAGGAAGTGACGAGTCGCGATTAAGCATTGTTTGTCGACGAGGCATTTTGCATTTAATAAGTCCAGGCATTCGAGAATCCTGGATGGAATCTTCTCGCGATTCCTCGCGAATATAATCCAACCACCCTCTACCTCCCCCTTCTGCTCTCTCGAGCTAGTTGTATTTTTGTTTTTCACCGGGGGTTATTGCGAACCAGATGGGGGGGAATATTATTGCCGCCCGTGCATTAAGATGATTTGCGTTCCGCCCCTACTCTCCACACTCGTTCGAGGATGAACGCGCTGCTCGTCGAGCGGAACTTTCCGCGCAATTTATGACTGCACCTTGCGAGATTTTTGGGAGAACTGGGTTACTCGAATGTTAATAGGGTGGATAAGCAGTTGGGGACTGAACGAGAGGGCGTTAACATGTGTTCCTTTTTTTCGGAGATTGATGAAAATTGATGGATGATCGATCATCGAACTTTGAGGGTGGGGTTTTAAATAACGTAATAGATTTATGGTCACCCTTGTTGAACATCCGAATTCATTTTATTATGCAGCAACGACCTTGAAATGACATTCACAATGACTTTTATAATTACATGTCAATGTTGGGGCATCCCAATTTTGAAACCATCTGCGATTTTGCTCTAATCAATATATGTTATAGTCCATGTGAAATTAGGGGGGGTTTAAGTCATCGTTTTACCGGTTTCGAATTTGTTAAGAAAGAACAACCCTTCAAAGTTTGCAATTTTTGCCCATGTTTGCGAAAGTAGGCTTCACTTACGAATTTTTTTCTCGGAAACTACTCAACCGATTTAGCTAAATTCTTTTTTGTCTTATTCACGAAGGATTGGGCTATTTTAAAATATTTTTTTTAATTCCGTCAATTCGTTATGAAATTTCGAAAAATTTTATAAAACCCCGCATTGAAAAAAACGCGAAAAAAGAATTTGTTTAAATTTTTCGACATTTCATAACAAATTGACGGAATTGCAAAAAATATTTTAAAATAGCCCAATCCTTCGTCAATAAAACAAAAAAGGATTTAGCTAAATCGGTTCAGTAGTTTCCGAGAAAAAAATTCGTAAGTGAAACCTATTTTCGCAAAAATTGCAAACTTTGACCCATGAACATTCCTCATGTCACCTAATCTTACCAATCAGACTCCAAAAAAGCGACAAGTCTATATGAAAGAATTTCCCCAGAATTGCTCGACGAAGAGGTTATGTAACCTCACATAAAAAATTGCCAAACAATAGCCAAATTCAATCAAAGCATCGAAAATCCTGTGTAGCTCCATAAAAAGGGGACCAATCGACTATTGTTTACACAAACCACCCTGTCCGGTTTGAATATTCCGTCCAGGTCATATATATATATATAGCATGCCTTTATTTTTCCAGCAACCTTTGGCCAGATGAAAAAAATGTAAAACCCTCCCCCCTTATACGTGGGCCGGTGTGTTGCAGGCTGCGAGTTTCCGGCGCAATGGAACGGCCACTGGTTTCAATCGGGGAATCAGGGGTTGGTGACAGTGAACGGATCCATGATGACCAGCAAGGGCCGCTGCATCGAGACCAAAGACGACAAGTTCCTCACTCATGACAAGTGAGTCTCGTTTGAATTGCAAGTGAGATATGTATATCGCCGTTCCCGTCGATATGAAACGATGCATGGATCGTATTTCATCCCTTTATCCGTGCTGCCCTGCCCCCAACCCCGCTTTCGAGTTTGAGCTTTTATTAATTAACTGCACCCTTCGATGCTTTCGACCCTCTGTGACAAAGCACCTCGGGGCTAGGCGTGCCGGTGAAAGGGGTGTACAAAACGTTTCCTAAAGGGGAGGGACCAAGTTTCGAGGAACGATTCTCCAGAGGGGCGCGTGTTCGTTGCTTGTAATGTTATGATGGATACTGATACCTCTTTAGCAGGGAATCTCAAATATTTTGGGGTGGGCTTGTCGTTTTTTAGGGGTTGTTTTTTATGTTTCGATTACTTTAGACATTCTGGGGATTGAAACGGTTTTTAAGGGATGTTTAACATTTTTTCGTAAATACTATATCATGACGCACTCAGGAACGTGATTCAGACGCTGCATAATTAAGGAGCTGAATGCATTTTAACCCTTTGCGCTCGAAGATAATTTTACTGTTTGCAAACAGCAGCTTTAAAATATTAATTAAAATGTTAAATGACTTCTTTTGAAGTTATTATTTCTCTACTAATAATTTCCACTATTGTCCATTTCACTATGTTTATACATCACGTAAGCTCTATTACAGAATTAATTAAATAATGCTTCTTTTAAATTATTGTATTAAATCTTTGCACTCGAAGATAATTTTACTGTTTGCAAACAGCAACTTTAAAATATTAATTAAAATTTTAAATGACTTCTTTTGAAGTTATTATTTCTCTACTAATAATTTCCATTATTGTCTGTTTCACTATGTTTGTACATCACGTAAGCAATATTATAGAATTAATTAAATAATGCTTCTTTTAAATTATTGTATCAAATCTTTGCACTCGAAGATAATTTTACTGTTTGCAAACAGCAACTTTAAAATATTAATTAAAATTTTAAATGACTTCTTTTGAAGTTATTATTTCTCTACTAATAATTTCCATTATTGTCTGTTTCACTATGTTTATACATCACGTAAGCACTATTATAGAATTAATTAAAAAATGCTCATTTAAAATTATTGTATTAAATATAATGGTGACTGTGAGTATATTATTATGCAATCGTTGACTATGAAAGGGTTAACATTCCCCAGTTGTCTTCACGTTGTACAAATAATTAGCTAGCAACGGTAACTGTAAAATTTGTACGTTAAAAGATTAATGGCTGTAACCGATTAGATTAATGACCGTAACTGATCAAATCTTTTTTGAATATTTCTCTTCATGCTTTTGTTTGTGGTTACATTAAGGTTAGAATTCGAGTGGATCATTAACCTTTAAATTGTACGAAATAGAGAATCGTCAGGAAATGAAACGTTTACGAGGAAAGAGATTTTGATGGAGGTCCTTAAAAAGGAATCAAACGAAATTATTTATCAGAATTTCGTTTATTTGTCAGCATTCATAAGACGCTGGTGAAATGAGAGCCGAGCAAAGTAGCGCAACGAACGATAAGAAACGACCAAGATGAGGATCCTTTATTCCGTTCCGTTTTATCGCTTGCTCTGTGAGATTCGTATATTCCTCGGTAGTGACCTTAATATCCACGCCGAAGAAGAATGGGAGGACGTTAGAAGATCATTTCGTGCGCTTTACGAAAATTCTATTTCGTCAGTATCGCCTTGCACGTTTTATAATGGATGACGTTCAGCGGACCAGATGAAATCATAAACGCTTGCAAAATGGACGTCTACCGTCGATGAACGTTCTCTTTAAATTGCCTTCTACATTCAAACGTAGACAACATTATAAGATTTTCTCAATTAACAAATTTTTCCATTTAGAAATTTCATGAATTCGAAATTGACAAATTTTTGAAATTTGATACTCTGTGACTTGAAGACTACAAGTTTTACAACTTTTCAAATATTTAAATAATATTTATTTTAAATATTTAATGGACGGAAATATTTAGAGATAATAGAATGCGCTGATGAGTTCAAAAATTGAAGCTTAACGTGAAATCTGCTGCTTTGTACGATAAATCGGGGATTCAAAAGATCAGGTGGTATCTCTCGTTGAATCGGTAACAAACCCAATCGAATCTTGCTGATGCTACTTCGTCAGCTTGGCTCGACATCATTGACATGCAAATGAGAGAAGAAAATTGACGAGCGAGCGTGTAGAAACGAGCGGAGACAAAACGAAGAAGCGCAGCAGCAAAAGTTGAAGGAGGACAAGATAGCCGTGGCGTGGGTATCCTGGCAAAGTTGAGAGTTAAGTTTTAATTAATGTAATGGAGAGTAGCCCGTGATTAGCCTTCCAATCAGCGTGCTCCTCTTTTCGAGGATGCTGCCTGGCGTGAAGGTAAAAAGAACATTGCGAGAGGAATGTCCTTTCGCGAACCCGACTATCCAAACGATGGTGGAGCTGGTAAATGGGCCAATCGACGACATTGCCATTAAGATTCTTTGATTTGACGCAAAGTGATGAAAAAGGTTCGGACAAATGAAATTCAAGGGTTATTCAGCGTCAAGTGTTTGACAGCCTCGTCAGGGTAGCTTTTTTATTCTTGACCTTCAGCCTACCTTGAAGGACTCGGTATTTCTATTAAAACATGAAGACTCACTTAATTAATAGGTATGTCAAATTAAATAACTCAATAAGTAATCCAAAATGTAAGATTACTTAGAATTACTTTTGCTTACTCGGGTTACCCTGAACACTAGGGCTTCTATTAGTCACCTTTTGGCACTTTTGACAATTTTTCTAAGGGTTTTGGCACATTCTAAGAAAGTTTAGTCCTCTGACAAAAAGTCGTATCTAGCACGGTTTCGCCTGTGAGTGGTAGGGCAGGGCTTTTACAGTGTTTTGACTCGTTGAAGGCTCCTCGCTCTCAGCTCGCAGTTAGGCACGTTTCACAATTTTCCTAGAGGTTTTGACTCATTTCGAAAAAGTTTGATCTCTTGACAAAAAGTCGTATCTATCACGGTTTGGCTTGTGGGTGTTAGGGCAGGGCTTTTACAGTGTTTTGACTCGTTGAAGGCTCCTCGCTCTCAGCTCGCAGTTAGGCACGTTTCACAATTTTCCTATTTTCACAATTTTCCTAGGGGTTTCGACTCATTTTGAAAAAGTTTGGTCTCTTGACAAAAAGTCGTATCTAGCACGGTTTGGCTTGCGAGTGCTAGGGCAGGGGTTTTGTAGTAAGTTGACTCGCTTTTATTCACAGGGGATCCCTATCGTCCGGCAGCCATTTTTCGGCATTTTTGACAATTTTCCTACGGGTTTTGGCACATTCTAAGAAAGTTTAGTCCTCTGACAAAAAGTCGTATCTAGCTCGGTTTGGCCTGTGAGTGCTAGGGCAGGGGTTTGGTTATATTGTGACGCCTTCATCCTCTGGGGACTCACCGCTCTCTAGCCGCCTATCAGCTACCTTAGGGACTTCTGACAATTTTTCTAGGGGTTTTGACCCATTCTAAGAAAGTTTCTTCCTCTGATAAAAAGTCGTATTTAGCTCGGTTTGGCCTGTGAGTGCTAGGGCAGGGGTTTTGTAGTATTGTGACGCTTTCGTCCTCTGGGGACTCACCACTCTCCAGCCGCCTATCAGCTATCTTAGAGACTTCTGACAATTTTTCTAGGGGTTTTGACCCATTCTAAGAAAGTTTCTTCCTCTGACAAAAAGTCGTATCTATCACGGTTTGGCCTGTACGTATACAGGCACGAGTGAGTGGTCGATATGGAATTTTATAATATTTTGATGAGTATCTTCAAGAACTATGAAATATATATTTGTAGATAACTTTAAATACTCTACTATCTACCATTCCAAGTATTGGTGTATAAAAGAAAAGACACAATGGAATGGGAGCTAAAATAAGTGTTTGATGTAAAGAATGGGAATACTCTTTTTGAAACATCCTGTATGCACAACGTGTACATAACGTGTACGAGGAAATGATTAGCTGGAAAGTGTCGTTTTTCCATCATCATTAACTTCCAGTCGGCTTGATTGTTTCTGATAGCGATACAGTGACGCTTTGGCGTCGGATGCGTAATACAGAGGATCCGAACGTCGATTAACGGTTATCGATAATCCATCGTAATGACGAGCGATTGAAGCATGGCGCTTCGTAATAATTGTTTATCGATTAAAAAGTACCCGTGGCCACTATGCTGGTATTTACGCAACGTTAGGTTCAATTTGTTTTCCGACCTTCAACCAGCACAAATCATTCGCGCCACCATTATATCACACATTCACCATTCTGTTGTCGAATCATCGTAATTTCATTCGTGTTTCCTTTTCATTTCTGCTTAAAATTTCTGAAGAGTATATCGATTTTTGAAAGTATAATTAAATACGTGTTTATTAACTGTTAGGTTGAATGTATAATGCACCGCACACTTTGTTCAACGATATTGCATCGGTATCAGATTTTAATACTGGCGAAAGTTTCGGGAACTCGACGATTTGTTACGTTGCTCGATAATTGATTGTGCCCGGGCTGCGAGTTAATTAGAATTCGCTCAGAATCGAAGCGGGAATGTTTAGAAAATTCAACGCGAACGGGAACTGCGGGAAATTCCGACAAGCAATTTTGCAGCTTAATTTTAATCGTAATGAAGTTTCTCCGTAAGCATGGCTCTAAGTTGAATCGAGATAAGCAACTTTGATTCTGTTTTTAACTATGCAGAGAATTTCCGAACGAATCGATAATGCCGCCTCAATTAAAACGTTGGAAGTGGAATTTGTGCACGTACAAATATTATTTATTTTCATTGTACTTATATCTTTGTTTATGACATTGATGTAAATATTCGAAGAATTTTCTCAAACTGCAGACTACAAGAATTTTAGTAACATTTATAAAGTAGGACTATAGAGATACTAAGACCCATACGAATTTGTGCGATCAGAGAGGTCTGATGAATCAAGTGAAGTTCCAGAAAGCATGCTGTGTGAGGAACGTTAGGACATT